AATTTCAGTACAACCCACACGACGTCGTGTTTGTCGTAGCGTATGGGCCTAATTCAGTTCAGCCTCACGCGCCTATTCAGTCTCGAATCAATTCTAGATTTACCCAGCAAAAGCTTGCGCGTGGAGTCTACGCTCTAAACCTGCGCGTGATATCTGTTTGCCCTATATAACTGGGCCTTGGGCCAACTTTGGAAGTATATATTATTAGCCTTTTTTCATTTATTGGGCTAAGAAAGCCCATTACTAGATATGAATTAATTGATACATTACACTTGCAACATAAAATAAAGACGAAAGATAGCAGGAAGACAATCTCTTTTATTAAACAACACGACTCGAGGCAATACTTGAGTTTCATCACATACTGTCGCAAGCAAAAACAACCATTTTTTTTATAGATAATTCGAAGACAGGGCATTTACCGACATGACGAATCAGTTGTTGAACGTTCATTCAGATCAGATCATGCCGAGGACGCAGCGGAGGCAGTCCCCTTCATGCATCAGATCAAACGCCTTGTTGATCTCTTCCAGGGTCAGGTTGTGGGTTATGTACTCGTCCACCTTTATCTCCTGCATCCATTTACGGATAGAATCATGTTAACTGCGGACAGTGGAAGTAGAGAATTTCACAACAGAATCGTGCTAACCTTCTTCATGTACTTGTCGACGAGCCAAGGAACTTGGGAGCGGCTCTTGAAACCGCCAAAGGCTGTTCCTTTCCATACACGACCAGTCACAAGCTGGAATGGACGTGTTGATATCTCCTGCCCTGATGCAGCTACCCCCACAATAACAGACGTTCCCCATCCCTGCCCATTTTTTTTTTTATTACCTCGAGTTGTCTTTAGACGAGCTCTCTATAGATTGTTTACTCACCTTGTGACAGCATTCCAGAGCTGCCCTCATCACAGAGACGTTTCCGATGCACTCAAAGCTGTAGTCAACGCCACCGTCTGTGAGATCAACGATCACTTGCTGGATCGGTTTCTCGTAGTCCTTTGGGTTCACAAATTCGTTAACACCAAAGTTCTTCGCTGGAAGTTTCAGCCAAAGGAAAATAGTAAATACTGAGTAAATTACACGTGCATGGCTCGTTGCATATCCCATCACTTTTAACCTTCACCAATTGAAAAGATATAAAGGCTTTACCAACTTCAAACTTCTTGCTGTCGATATCAATGCCAATGATCCTTGAAGCACCAGCGGTTTTTGCTCCCTCTGCAACCTATCACATCGACAATAGGATCCAGCATAATTAATCACGAGCTCGTAAATTGAATTCAAAGCAGAATTTCGAAGGAAGTTTCAAAAGTAAAGAGAATTAGCTTACAGCAAGCCCAACAGTCCCAAGACCAAAAATGGCAACATTAGACCCTGGTTCCACCTTTGCTGTGTTCCAAACTGCTCCTAGACCTAACATGATGAAGAGGCAGTTAGCATTACAAACCACAACACCGATAACAAAAAACAATAAAACCGATAAAACCACAACAAAGAAAAGAAAACAGACGTTCAGAGGTGAGAAAGTCAAGAACTTTCATGGTAAACAAAAATGGCAAGTTAAGGACAAAGGATGTCTATGTTACTAGTAATATTGAATTCATAAACGGAAAGCAAAAGCAATTGCTGAAAACTTATCTAGCGCATGAAAAGAGATTCCGTAAAACGGGGAGGAAACGACAATAAAAACATAACCCAGGTCAATAGACTATGTTTCTTACCAGTAGGAACACCACAGCCAAGAAGGCATACTTTCTCCAGGGGAGCATTGGGATCAATTTTCGCAACGCTAACATCGTGAACTACCGTGTATTGACTAAATGTCGAGGTACCCATGAAATGATAGATGGGCTTTCCATTGATAGAGAAACGACTCTTGCGGTCACTCATCATAACCCCAACACCGGTAGCAGCTCTAACCTTGCCACAGAGATTAGTCTTCCCAGATTTGCAGAACTTGCATTCGCGGCACTCAGCCTGATAACAGGGAATGACATGGTCTCCCGGTTGAACTTCTGTTACCCCTTCACCAACGCTCTCAACAATCCTGTGCCCAAAACAAATGTCGGGGAATCTCAACATAGGGAGCTCGGTCAAGAAGAACATAGAAATTCGACTCGATACCGAACATACCCAGCAGCCTCATGGCCTAGAATACATGGGAAGAGACCCTCAGGGTCCTGCAAGGGATAAAACAAGACAATATCTGGAGTCAGTTAAAAGAACATCTGACGCGTCACCAAGAGAAATACAGAAAACGACATGGGCAAACAACATAAGATACAATTGTCACAGCGAGAAAAAAAAAACAATCCACCAAATTTTCCATGGGAGGAATGCTCCTGGGAAAATCTACAATTTCTACAACAAACGATTTTCCATTTCTTCAGTTCTAAGGAAAAAGGTTGAGAATTTTCCATCATCCAAAAAACGAAATGACAAAAAGATCAGCTTTTCAGTCATCAATCTACGATTCTCAAAGACTATGATTAACTTCGAAATGGCGAAGAAAAGAAATGAAATAATCCAGCGCCTAGCCTAAACTCATTAGAGGGGAAAGACCCAATTAATCGATCAGTATCAAACTGAGAACATAGTCTAAAATTGAAAGGCCAAGAACGTAGAATCTGCGATACCTTGCCGCTCCAGGTGTAGGCGTCAGTGTGACAGAGAGCGGTGTAAAGGATCTTGATCCGGACCTCACCAGCTTGTGGTGGATCCACCTGCACATCTTCGATCACCAGCGGCTTGTTCGGCTCGTAAGCCACCGCAGCTTTCGCGACCAAAAACAATCGAAACCAATCAGAAACTTATACAACACATACAACGTTTCCAAACATCCACAGAGATCTCGTATCCAGACATGGAACAAAAATCGAATCACTCCTTGATGCTCAAGTGTCCATACAACCGGATAGAGAGAGAGAGTACCTTTGCAGGTGATGACTTGGCCTTGAGTCGACATTAACACGGGATGGAGCTCAGGAATGAGAGAGAGAGAGAGAGTGGAGGGAGGAGAAAGCGATGAAGGAAAGGGCTGCCCTTTTGTGGCTGTTTTTTTACTTCGGCTTGGCGGTGCCTTAGACAAGGTGACCCGACTTGAACCCGGATCCAGCTAATCGGGTCGGATACCATGGGAAAAATCCAATTTGACAATTATTTCACTCGCTGGTCCACCAATTCTAAGTTTTCGTAAACTCTTAAAATTTACATTATTACGGAAGATACTAAAATATCACTTGATAATATCATTCATGTGAGATTTTGGGTATTACAGACCCCAGATTCCCCATCAGAACCATTTTAACATGTTACATAAAACGATACTTCTGGGCCGTATACTTTCGTGTGCCACTGTATTATGTCTGATCAAAAAGAAGAAGAAAAACCCTAAGAGAGGACCAATTACCAAACGTGTTACAAACTTGCAGATACAAACTACAACAAAAACAACATGCTGTTTTTTTTTTACATTTTCTGCGGCTTTTGTAAAGAATGAAGGCGCAAAAGACCTCAGAACCCTGCTTCAAAGGGGCAATAGACAATGTGAACACCCACCAGAAAAACAGGGAGGAGGAAGAGGTTCTCCCGCCATATCAGATCACCACCAACAAGGAGGTCATATATAATAACGATTATAAGGCAGAGAAGGATGATGGCAAACAGGACGCGATGATTACCCGAAAGAAAAACAGACGAGCATTGATCCCGTTTGTTTTGTCCCTACCCGAGCAAAGTGTCTGAAGAGGAACGAGAAAATAACCCCGATGCCGCAGGGACTGTTGGAGAAGTGAGTGTTCCATTGGGAGAGCCTTGTGAGGATTTCTGGGACTGGGTGCCTCTCCTTGCTAGCACTCTAATGCCAAAGTCTGCACCTGCGATTTCAGAGTTTTTAACGAGAAATCGAAATCTTATGTTAGTCATACAATACTTGCTCAGATCGGAAACAAAAACCCGCAAAAGAAGAAAGCAATATTCCAGATTCTGATGATGTTGTTTAACTTTTGCTCGGAGGAATTCAACACCGAGCTCTCTTTGACAAAATTCTTCGTTAGACTTTTCCCAAATAAAAAGTTTCAGATTCTATTGCCTTGAGCCTTCCTTTTACTGCCCCCCTTAACTATTTCGGGAAGATCAGATATTGTTGATAATTCTACCTCGGCTAGGTTTTCTTCAGGCAAGTTGTTTGGTCCGGTGAGGCTGGAGGCAGCAGCGGTGTTATACCGGAAGATCCTGAGTTTCCCCTCCTGCGTTCCATGGCGGAATATTTAGTTAGGAAGATCAGCAGAAAGATAATTGCATCATAGAGAAACATTTTTTGGGGTATTTGTTTTTAGTTGACATGTACAAGAATCTGGATTATCATCACCTTTGTTCCATAAACAAGACCACCTCCAGGAGAAGGATGAAAACAAGCGACATTAACTTCATCCTCAGCACTCGGGAGTACCCTCACCAGTTCCATATCTGAAACTCTGTAAATCTGACAAGCAAAATTTAAAAGAAAAATGAAACAGTTGAATCAAAATGCCATATTTTAATGTGGAGACAAGTGAGTATAGACTCACTTCCAACACTGTGAAAAAATGCAATGTTGTTTCTCCATCACTAACAATGCTCTTCAAAAGAGAACCATGACGCCGGCCATACGCAAGTAATATGTGCTCGGAGGTCGGTGAGAACTGCACGGAAAACTCTCGATTACAAAGTGTTCCATGAACATAGAAATGTTACATAGGCAAGAAGTTTTGTCAACCTAAGCAAATGTTACATTTTAATTATGGAAACACGAGAACCAGGCCCGCCATTTGGGTGAGGAGTTCCAGATTTCGGTATTTTATCTGGGCAATTCACAGAACCAGCAGACTTCTCATCTCTAGTATATGAGCATCAGGATTAGCAGGTGACATATTTGAATTAAGTACATTACACATACATTGGAAATATGATCGGTAGGTAATTTCGAAATCAACATTGCATAACCACACTGAAAACCTATTGAAGCTATTTTTTGCCAGGGTCAATTGAAGAACTATCATGGTGGCTAAATTTTGCCGCATGAAGCAATACAGTTATTTATCTACCAAAACGAATAGCAGAAAAGAGAATGCCCTTCTCCTCGAACAAATTAGCTAATTAGCTATCAGCAATGGCAAATAAAGAGGTCACGACCACATGATAAACCATCCTCATTTGCCTTCCATCCCATGAGGACACAAACTAAATTGCAACACAAACTTATGCCTGTCAAACACCGAATCCAATAATGTACCAAAAAGGAACTGACCTGGATAGAGGTCAAGCAATGCGCAGCTCTAATTGCTCGTGAGACGAGTACTGAACCAAACCTGAAGAGGTATAATACATACTCTATTAAATTCTCTGTTATCTGTCACTGTCGGGCCGAATCACAAATAGCGCTAAGATTAGGAAATACAGGCAGCAGAACCTACGTGTCCTTTTCAAGAGAATACACACGAAGTTCATGCATAACTTGGTGTGCCGTGACTGGGTGCCGTGTAGGGGAAGTTGCAAGCCCTGAATCTTGTTGGACCAGCGTCTGCAATCCAGGATCTGTCTCAGTATGAGGAAGAACGCATGCAACACAGACAGCTAAATATCTCCCGCATGGCGAAAAATGGGCTCCCATCTCACTGCAAAGATGTACACATCAAAGAAGCAGAACAATCAGCATATCTCACACAGTAAAACCGAAACATGGTATGGCATCAGACTTATCTTTAGTGTAACGGAATGATATCAACAATTCTAAGGAGCACATTTTTGTTTCTTTAAAGGAAAGAAGTTTTGCCTGCAAAGAACAGCATGAGGTATTGTTAACCGGCATTTGTCAGCCTTCAGTTGTGTGCATGGGTCTTTGATGTCATGTGACCACACTCTGAGCTTCACAGTACAAGGTAACTCCGCAGCAGCTACTGCGACAGCAGCAGCAATTGAAGTAGCAAGTTCAGATTGGATTATGTTCATCACAGGTTGAGTATCGGCTCCATCATGTTGTGTTCCGCGAGAGGAAACACTTTCTGCTAATCCAGATCTTGAGAATTGCATCTGCGAAATTCGGTCTCGAGAATCACCTCTTCCAGAAACGCCATATAAGTTAACACCACCAGGGATTTCTAAAGACGCAACTGCAGCCTCTAGGCTGGATGTCGATAAATAGGATGCTGAAGAACCCGTATAAGGAGTTGAATGTCCATGACCACTACTACCACTAAGTGGAACCCCTGAATGAGCACCAGCATGGCTTTGTGCCATGAACCATCCTTGGAGAAAAGGCAATTCCCACGCTCTGTCTCTAAACTGAAATGACTGCTGAAGCTGTCCAAACTCAAAAAAATCTGATTGATTTGAAACTTGACTGGGAGTTCCATTTCTTCCCACGGGATGAATTTCATATACATCCATGGCATCTGCAGTAGTAGCGGTCCTAGCTCTTGCTCGAGTAGTAAATGTGTTGGCTGCAGAATCTTCTAAAACACGATATGGACCAGAAGGAACGGATGGAGTAGCCAAGGGAGGAGATATTGTTCTGCTGCGGTTCTCTACAGCACTTTGATTATTCTGTAACCCTGTTGGTGCCCTACTTGAACCGGCATTAGCAGCAGAATATTGAGAGATTCTTGCATCATCTCTGGAATATGGAGGCACGAACAGGTATGGTAATGGTAAAAGAGGCAGTTCAGCTGCCAAACTAGCACGATTGGCAGCCTGTGTATTGGTTAAAAAAATAGCAGGAGGAGGATATCTCAAATAGCCAGGAGATGTTGCCCTGGTCATTGAGGAATCTGACGAATCGATGTCATTCACCTGCCATATAGAGTTAGAAATATAAGCTCACGCCAACTGTGGCACAACGATTAACTGAATTCATAACAGGCAGCTCACCTCTGCTGTCAAGAGAAATGGTGCTCCATGTGGATGGAAGTGTACAGCTCTCAGAGAGCGCCTTGTCTTCAACACAATGCTCGGCGAGGAATCTTCACCACTCTTGTTGTAGTGCCATATGTGCAACTGGAACAAATCATGAACAAAACTTTGTGAGGTCATTAAACCAAATATTTATGTTCTGGAGGGAGATGCCATCTGCATTAGTAAGAGGTTCATGAAAATTAAGATAGATAATACACCTTATGTCCACATGCAACAGCAAGCAATTCACCCTCGGCATGAAACGCAATGGAAGCAATAGGCCGATCTGTAAAAATGGAGGATTAAAACTAATATGATGGCTAAACAGAAAACGGAAAAAAAGAAACAAAATGATAAGATGGCTGAGACTTACAGAAATAATGAGATCTAATGCATTCTGAAGTTTTTGCATTCCATAACCGCACCTCATGATCTAAGCTTCCACTAGCAAGTATTTCGGAGTGGTGTGGGTGGAATCTTACCTATAGAGAGCTCCAACAACATTAGTTCTACGTATCTATTATCTAACTGCAATGGGCTAGCATGCCTAAGTAACTATCTGATTCATGAAAATACACTAATCGATTCAAGTCGTTGCAAGTATTGCCCACATAACATGCCATGCCAACACACGAAAACATAAGAATGTTGACGTCTATAACTCAACTCAGACAGTGAGTCAATGATAAAGACACTACCCAAATTCCATTTAAAGATAAGATCAGGCAACCTATAACTTGTTGAGGAAACTACAACCTATTAATCATGGGGAAACGGGTATAGAGTCAATAAACTAAGGAAAAAAGGGGGCTAACAGTTTCAAACTCACCACCCAAGGCGTCCTCCGATGGCCACTCAAGACTTTTAAGCAGTTCCCAGTTTCACAGTCAATAATCTTTACAGTGTGGTCACCACTACAAGAAACAAAAATAGAGTAAACCTCAAAGGGCAAATCGCATTGTTTAACCTCAACCAGATAGACACACAATACTTACTGTGTAGAAGCAAGAATTCTTCCATCAGAACTAAAAGCTGCTGCAATTGTTGACCTTGGAGGTGGTATAAGAGGACAATATTTTGCAGATAAATGCTGCAATGACTCTGTCTCAGCCCTGCAAAAAGAGACATCAATTACATTGGAAATCCAAAATCAGAAGGACCTAAAAAATTATCTCAAGGCACGATATTCTAGTTTCGCAATAACCAGTCATGTAAGCATGTAGGAACACAAAACTGAAAAAAGAGAATTACCATGAAATGAGACTGCACCCAGCATCACTCGCCGATTCACCGCTACTGGTCCCGCAGGAGGAATCAGCGTCCAATCTACTTTCACCCCACAGTTTCCTTGGTAAATACTTGGTCTTTGGTGAAATTTCCCTCTGAACTAGCAAGCTAAAGACACTCCTACCACTAAAAAATTTATATACAAGCCAGGATTTAGAGTGATCCATCCAGCTTTAGCCAAGTAAAATGTGAGTTAAGGGTGCTAAAAGCTTATTTGGTAACTCCAACTAAACAAATGCAAAGACAAGGCAGCTCAATTCAGCAAGTAAACATTGAAGATCAAGTTCCAAGATATGCTACTCTTGCAATTCCTGAAGATAACCTAGTTCCAACTCAAATTCCCAAATTCGATGAACTATACGGGCCTTTTATGAGAATCTGAAAATGCCAGTACCCGAAATCTAGCACATCTAAACTTGCCATTGACATTGTAAAATTAGGAATCAGAAACCAACAAAACTAAGCACCAAATCTCTCAATATTCAGACGAAATCAGCATTCAGAATTTGTTACGATCTCCTAAAAAAGCTTTCTAATTACATGATCTAACATGGGATCGCCTACGCTCAAATAAAATCATTCCATTCCCCACAATCCGTAAGTCAAACTCCAGCCGATAGGCAAGTCCCGACCTGTGGCGGGGGACATCAGGCGCTGGTTTCGACGACGGTATCGTATATCTGAGAGAAGGTTGATCGTGAGACCAGATATGTTCCGCCATCTCAAAATCCGCAATTCATGACAATACAGAGGCCGACAACGACGAATCCATAGATAGATGTGACCAAGGAGGAGGCGGAGGAAAAGAAGAAGAAAACCCTAATTCGGAGATCTCAGAGAAAGAAACAAGACAAAATCTCAGATTTAAATCTGCCGGAGATTTTTTTTTCCCCCCTCGAAGATTGCTTGAGTAATCGTCTTCTCGACAGGATCGACGACGGAGCCTGAAAGCAAGAACAGGCACAAGGTGCGACACAGATCTCCCTTTTTCTTCTAATTCAGTGCCCAATTTTGTTGATTTTCTAAAAACAACCTTTTAATATTTAATAATACTCCCTGAAGTTCAGTTAATTTCACAATATAACCCTTTTTTCTCAAGAGTGCATATCAAGCCCATTTTACTTTTAATACATTGCTCCTATAATCTCTTCCGTTCAGCCAAATCAACAGTCCAGCGAAACGATAACGAGTCAACGACATTCATATTTGGCAGAGAAAATTAAAAAAAATAATTATCTTTATCGTATTTTTATTTGAAAATCAATCGATACCTTTTTAATCGATTTTATAAATTAATAAGATTGATAACAATAAATATGTGTATAAAACAATGTTAATGAAGTGCAAGATCATATTAAATGAAGAAGTTTTCATATAAAAAAATCTAAAATGAAATTATATTGAAATTGTAACAGATTTCTTTATTTTATTAGTAAAAGTTGCAGTATGAATAATTTATTGGATAAAAATAGAATTATAATTTAAAACTACACAATTTGTGATATAGTCTTACAAAAAAGTTGAGAAGATGTGTATTATTTGTTTTATATTACGTCTCCTGGCTCAACCAACTCAGATTCCAGGAAAAAAAAAATGAAGAAATCAAACAGGGTTGGGAACTTCAAAATTAAAAACTACTGACGAACTCTGAAATAATAAAAACTTTTGAGGCGTCTTCTGAATTTATTTTTCTCATTTAATTTTTATTCTCTTTTTTTGTTTTGTGTAACGCAGGGAATGGATGGGCCGGTCTGGGCCTGTCTCTGAGCCCAAAAGTATACTTCTGTGGGTCCTTTCATGTCCATTCCACGTGAAATTTCCATGAAGTATTTAATTTGGTTCATTTCTATCGGTCACTATATTTAAATCTAACGGAAACTTCCATGGAATGCTAAAAAGCTGCAGTCTTGTTCTTCGAAATTGCTTGGAAAGGCAAAAACTAAACCGGAATAAATATCGCAGATAACCGGAAAACTCTAGTATATCAAATCATCCGGTTGACTTGGAACTGGGAGCCGGTTCGGAGATTTAGTAGGACTACAACTCCCAATTCACATTTCAAATCCGGTTTAGAACAAAACCATGTTTATAATAGTATTGGTTCGAATAAAAGTCCGGTTTGATTTAGTTTCGGTTCAGATTCAAACTATATATATGTGTGTGCACTGCCCGTCTCCACCATACACAAGAGACAAATTCTCCCGCCGGGGCAAGCGATTCCGACATGTCGTCTTCCTCCTCCGTCTTGATTCCTCCGCCGCAAAGTCGCGGTATCGTTGTACGTCTCGTTTTTCTCTCTCTCGTATACGTATATGATTGTGAATGCGTCAATGGGATGCTTTTTGGTGAAGTGACAATTCTTAGTTCTCACCCGGAATTTCAGCTTGCATGTGGTCAACTCTGTCTGGATTATTTGGTCGCAGTGTCATCGTTTCCGAAGCCTGATGACAAGATCGTGAGCACGAACTTCAAGGTTGATTTTTGTTTTCCTTAATTTCGCCTTTTTCGCGTTGCTTCGTTTGAAATGTTCGCCTGTTGTAGAATTTGGGATTGTGCCGATTCCTCGTTGACTTTCATTTGTAAGATGATTTTTTCCGTCGAATTCGGCGATTGTTTCCGATATTTTCCCATGAGATGTAATCATTTCGCGGTCTTTTTTTTTTTAGGTTCAGGGAGGTGGAAACACTGGGAATGCTTTAGCGTGCGCTGCTCGTTTGGGTTTGGCTTCCAGGATCATCGCTAAGGTGAGAGGTTCATGAAAATGCGTTAATTTGAGAAATGGTTTGGTACCCGGCCTTGGGAGATTTGTGTTTCTTGGAGATGAAAACTGATTCCTCATAATTTGTTCTGTTTCTTCTATGTTGAGTGAACCCTCGGCCATTACTGTTCAAGTTTTTCACTTTATAAACCTTTAAACATAAGCAATAACGTATAAATTACATATCTTTTTGCAAACTCAGAGTGAAAAGCTTAGTGTCATTCAGGTTGCTGATGATTCTCAAGGGAAATGGATGCTGGAGGAGATAGAATCATACGGTGTAGATACTTCATTTTGTTTGGTAAGATCACGATGTCCGTATTTATTTATGAGTATATAAAATCTTGAATTCGTGCTTGTTATAAATCGTCGAAAACAACTTTTCGACGTGTATTTCCTCCTGTCTCAGGTTTCTAAGGGAGGAACTTCACATTTTAATTACATCATCGTGGATAACCAAACGTGAGGAAGCTTGTCTCCTTATTTTTCTCTCCATCCATCCCTAAGTCTTTTTTAGGACCAGTAGCATTACTCTTGTTTGTCTTGTCTTATGACACTGTGAATCTTTAATCTAATCTTGAATTTGAAGTCCCCATTTTTTGTCAGACAAGTTCTGGAGTATGACTGAGGAGGATAACTATCTTGTCTGACACGATTCCTTTAACGTATTGTAGGAATACCCGGACGTGTATTTTCATTCCTGGATATCCTCCCATACTCCCAGACGACCTCTCTGATTCTATCCTTGAAACTGCGCTGGATGAAGTAAGAGTTCTCTATGCAAACGGAAGGTCCCGTGAAGCTGAGCTGCTTCTTGCACAAAAGGTGATTGTTCTCTCAGTGTTTTGCTCGTAGACATTAAGCCTATCGGGTCAAGCCAACGTACTTGCCTTGTTTCGTGTTTATACATTTTGTTCTCACACATAGATCCCCAGAAGTTTAACGCTTCGAAGGTGGAAACCAATCTTAATACAAGAAAGTGAGCCATTAAAACTAGTTAGGAATCTCTGTTTACGTCGTTCACTTAAATGTTTCCTCATAACTGGACCATATTGCTCATGGGGATTATGGATTCATGTGCCAAGAGACCAGATCAATACATAGAATGAGATTTGTCTTGTGCAGGCTGCTAGCAAGAACATTCCCATTTTAGTCGATCCTGAGAAAAAAAGAGGAGGATTAGATGAGCTCCTCTGCTTAGTTGACTATGCTGTGTGCTCTGTCAACTTTCCTCAGGTCAGACTGTTTATGAAGATTCATTTACATTTCTGCTATCTGTGGATCAATTTATTTATTTGGTTGTAGGAATGACATGTGAAATCACGTGTATATGTTCTCGCCGCCTGTCTTGTCATAGGGTGTTTCTGGTAAAGCAGTCTTATCATAGAATGTTTCTGGTAAAGATGGAATTATTTTGTTATTCCAACAGGAGTGGACAGAGGCACCATCGCTTCCCACTGCCCTCGTCTCCATGCTCGTGAAATTACCTAAGCTGAAATTCGTCATTGTGACCTTAGGAGAAGAAGGGTGCATAATGCTCGAGAGATGTCCCAATGGTGAGCTCCTCGATTTTCCTATTATCATATCTTCATACAATCACTAGTGTACGATAGATGAATCTATTTATGCACAACATACACCGTTCTTAATGATAATGCTTGTTTATAGTGTGATCTTAGTACCTAAATCTACTCAATATTTGCTGGAATCCAGTTGGGTAGGGCCTAACATAGTCATTTCATAATGTATCTACATTTCATATTTACATGTGCGACAGAACTCAGAAGTCAGTTGGTGTTCTGTCTCGAGATCTTTAAACTCTTCGCTCTAACAGAGTAAGAGGAGACATTATCCCATTGACTCTTCCTTTCTCTGAACAGACATTTTAGAGTCGGAAGAAACAGACATAGAGAGCTTACTCGATTCTCTGAAGAAAAAGACAGACCAGACCAGTACACTGCCCATCTGCATCTCATCGGTAATAAACTCCGAAATGTTTTCAAGAAAGAAGAAACAAAACTGATCATTGCTTTCTCTAAACCCCCGAAAACTTTCCATTTCAGCGGGTGGCGAAACTGAAGGAAAATGTAACCGGGAGGTTGTTTATAGGAACAGCCGAGAAAATCCCGGCATCGGAGCTCATAGACACAACTGGTGCAGGAGATGCTTTCATTGGAGCTCTTCTCTATGGTATACGCTTTACTCTTCTTCTTCTTCTTCTTCTCTGCAACACATCAACATGTGTAAAACCATTCTTAGTTATATAATGTTTAGGATCAATTTTAGATTATATTTAATTTCCGATTCTTTAACGATTCCATATAGAACCTATCTCTCTATTCGGACAATGACGAGACCCATGTTTTGTGGAGCTCACGGCCTGTTTGGCGATGTGCTTTTCACCGGCCGAAATGGTCGGCCCGGCCACAACTCTTCTCCCAAAGATTCTGGAGATATAGTGAAAATTAAAATAAATAAATAATGTATAAAAACATAAAGGGGTAAAAACTATTTTAAAAGAAAGAATTTTATTATATTTATCTAATAATTACAATTAGCCATTTTGTGGAACTTCTTAACATTCCTTTTGGTCTTCGTATTTTGAAACGTAGGCTTATGTGAAAGCATGCCTCCTGAGAAAATGTTGCCATTTGCTTCCCGAGTCGTAAGTATAGTGATAATCTCCCTTTTTTTTTAAAACTCCCGTTCGACGCAATTTTCGAAAACGCTAGCGTCTGCGTTTTGTCTCACTTTTAGTGATGATGGGCCTTTGCGTTTTCAGGCCGCTTGCTGCTGCAGAGGTTTAGGGCCGCGTTCCACTCTTCCGTTCCGTACAGATCCACGGATTGCAGCGTCCATGCTTTAAAAGCACAATCCTAGTTATGACTGTGTATGATTGCATTATATACGTTTAAAATGAAATAACTATGTAATAAGTTTGAAATGAAATAACTATGTGAGGACGATAAATATAATGACGTTAATGAAATAATTAACGAAATTTATTATTTGGGCTCTGAGCCCAAAGATAGTTATTATTTTATGGGCCCATATATTGAATGTGGGCCTCTCGCCTTTTTGTTTGGGGAAAGCTTATACGAATGAAATGCAGTGTCTCCGTGCTCCATTTCCCAGTCGGACACGAAGGCGTTCTCTAATTTCCCCTAGCAGCTGGCATCTCTCGCTCAAGAAAACCCTACAAAAATCCCTCTCACTCGCTCTCTTTGGTCTCGGATTTGGATTTCTATTCAATCAGGCTTGTATTCCCTCAAATCCCTACGGTCTCATCTAATTCTTAGTATGATTTGGATTATTGTTTCGGCTTTGGATGCGAATCATGAGCGTCTATGGATTGTGTTCTTGTTCTTGTGCGATAGTTCTCGCTGGGCGACTAGGGAACGGGAATTGACAGCTAATTTATAATCTAATATCTGATTAATCCTGTTTTATGCAGTGAAAACAATCTCCATATCTCAAGATGTCGCGGAAGGGTTTGATGGAGCAAGATCTAAGTAAACTGGATGTGACGACGTTGCATCCGCTCTCTCCTGAAGTCATTTCTCGCCAAGCGACTATAAATATAGGTAAGTTTTGGCGTCATTAGGGCTTTTGATCCCATGAGGGTTTTGGGGTTTCCTATGATCTCTGAGAATCTAACTGGGAAGAATCAAAGCTAACAATGTTAGTGCTGTACCTTGCGTCGCAGGAACAATAGGGCATGTCGCACACGGAAAGTCAACAGTCGTGAAGGCCATTTCTGGTGTGCAGGTAATTTTGGATACCCATTTTCACTTCCTCCCTTCACATGCCCGTTTTGTATCCGATGGACATGGAGAATGGACTATGACTAAATTGAAGATGGTGACTGTTTATGGATTTTGAGTCTTCTTGGATCGGACGTCCTGTAAATTTCTTTTTGGTCCCATCCGGTTTTGCAGACTGTCCGTTTCAAGAATGAATTGGAGCGTAACATTACCATCAAGCTCGGATATGCCAACGCCAAGATTTACAAATGCGAGGATGAGAAGTGCCCTAGACCCATGTGCTACAAGTGGGTTCTGGCCTGTAAAAAACGTTAGTTGTCTACTTATTCATCTAATTATCTACACTGCCTAACGGAGTATTCATTGTTTTAGGGCTTATGGAAGTGGAAAGGAAGACAATCCTATGTGTGATGTCCCTGGTTTTGAGAACTGCAGGATGAAACTGTTGAGGCACGTGTCCTTTGTGGATTGCCCGGTATGCAGAGTGTTACTTTCTCTCAGTTTTTCGCGAAGTTCAATGGTCAAGTGATTTTATAACCCTTAGCCATGTCAGTGTATTATGAGACCTACAATATGCTTTTCAAGTCAAACTTCCTCTCGTCCAATTGAATGGAGGGTTATGAGAAGTGTGGATTGCAAGAGAGGCTCCCATCCATGTCCCATTGTTATTTACTCCTGTTTAAGACGAGAGATGATTTTGTTCTCTACATTTTCAGGGACATGATATTCTTATGGCTAAAAAGCTTAATGGAGCGGCCATTATGGATGGTGCATTACTTCTCATAGCTGCCAATGAGAGCTGTCCCCAACCTCAAACTTCTGAGCATCTTGCTGCTGTTGAGATTATGCGCCTTCAGCACATCATAATCCTTCAAAACAAGGTCGATCTCATTCAAGAAAATGTCGCTGTTAATCAGCACGAAGCAATTCAGAAATTCATAAAGGTTGGTTTTTCTTATTTTTCAAGAATATGATCCATTTTTCCTTTCTCAGTGAATTAAGCTTAGAAGAAGAGAATTATGTTCTGAGTCCTGACATTACCTTATATTCTTTCACAGAACACAGTTGCTGATGGTGCCCCTGTTGTTCCCATCTCAGCGCAACTGAAATACAACATCGATGTTGTGTGTGAGTATATCGTAAAGAAGATCCCGATACCGGAGCGGAATTTTATCTCACCACCAAACATGATAGTTATTCGGTCATTTGATGTCAATAAGCCCGGGTTCGTGGTTGATGAGATTAAAGGTGGTGTGGCTGGTGGAAGTATCCTCCGAGTATGTCACTCTCTATACCTCTTGCTCGATCTTTTAATAAGTTTCATCCATTCCTACTGTTTGGCATACACAGTCATGTTTGCAAATGTTCTACCTATGTTACACATGTTGGGTTTTATTTCTGTCGAGGGCATTTGTTTTTATTCCACTATCACGGAATATAAATTATTCCCATTTTTCAAGCGCAAGGAAAAAGCCAATTATTTTTCTGGTCTCATTGTGTTCACAAGTTAAAGTTATTAGAAATTTGCAACGGGTTGGTTTTTCATATATTAGTTGCTTTTACTCTGAAAACGCAAAATTTTGTTCAGTTTTCCCTTTCTCGTTAGCATTTCTCTGAGGATCGGTGTCTGAATATATCCTTCTGTTTGCAGGGGGTTCTGAAAGTCAACCAAAACATTGAAGTTCGACCTGGGATTGTTGTCAAAGATGAGAAGGGAGACATAAAATGCACACCCATATACTCTCGAATAGTTTCACTTTATGCAGAACAGAACGAACTTCAGTTTGCTGTGCCGGGAGGTCTGATTGGAGTTGGGACTACCATGGATCCTACTCTAACACGTGCTGATCGGTTGGTTGGTCAGGTTCTTGGCGAAGTCGGATCTCTCCCTGATGTTTTCGTTGAACTCGAGGTACTGCAAAATCCCCATAATTTCTTGTTCATCACTGATACGATCCATGTTACCACATCAGGAAAAGCAAACAAGCACAAAAGGGATTTGAGCACAAGGCATCTTATGCCATATATAGCCAATTCTGCCTCGCCTGGGTTGTCTTGTTCGATGTGGGTATTGAAGGAGAGACCCGTCTCTAGATTTTACAATTGCTTGCATGTATCATAAACTGCTCTCCAGATCGATTTAAGCCATAGGGATGAAATGGGTTTTTGTCATAAAAGCTTTAATAAGGTAGGAGTCGTAGGACTAGGAAGAGCATATTTCCGAAATCTAAAAAAAATGTGTATTGGTGTGGTGGTTGAAGGTGAACTTCTTCCTGCTAAGGCGGCTGTTGGGGGTGAGGACAAAGGGATCAGAGAAGCAAGGGAAAGTGTCGAAACTGGCAAAGGGAGAGATCCTAATGCTGAACATAGGGTCGATGTCTACGGGGGCAAGGGTCCTAGCCGTGAAGAACGACCTTGCCAAACTGCAGCTGACATCCCCGGTCTGCACCAGCAAAGGAGAGAAGGTGGCTCTGAGCCGACGTGTGGAGAAGCACTGGCGTCTCATTGGTTGGGGCCAGATTCAGGCCGGAACCACCATTGATGTCCCTCCCTCTCCATTTTGATCTGATACATTTAAAAGAGCAAGAAAGAGAGGAAGAGGAGGAGAGAATTAGGGTTTTCAAATGTGGGAAGGTAGACAACTTCTAGGAACAATTTTCTTGAGATGGATGAGAAAACGTTTGTGTCGTGAAGTTTTGTTTAGTGGATGGAAGGCACTCTGTTGATCCTCTTGTCAGCCATTCACAAAAATATGAAAGACTGTTTTATGTCTTTAGATTTTGTTGTGATATTTGGGATCGTTTTATATTTTTTTTTTTACATTTTGGATTTTTTTTTCTTTTGGGTTTACAAATAGAGACGAGTTCCGTAATGGGCTTTTTATAGCCCATAAATGAATAGGCATTAGTAGAATGGATCGTCAGCTTCAGAGGGAAAGCCCAAAGCCCATTTGGTTAAGGACTTGCATCATAGTAGATGGAATCATGGAAACACCACGCTCTCTCCTTCGGCGCGTGAACCTCACGCACCAGTTTTACCCACTAGGCGAGGAAGCGCGTGATATATAATGTAGTTAAAAATCTTTGGAAAATGTTACGTGCGTATAGTTCATTCGATGAGAAAGAGTACGTAGTTTGTTGGTCCGGATGTATTTAATTTAAATTATTATTATTATTATTATTATCATTGGATGGAATCGGTCCAAAGAGACAAGTGGGAAGCTTCAGCGGAAGCAAGTAGACCTAAACCCTCACTTCATCATTCAAACTTTTCTCACCGAATTCGTCATCCGTTGGATCGTTTACGTGTCAATCGTTGCATTTGCATATTATAAGGATTATAATACGAAAATATTTTACGTGTTTTACCTTTCAAGTCAAATCTCTTTGACAGCAGGGACGACACTGTCTGGTCTGGTCTGGTCATTGATTTAATATATGTATCAGTGACGTATCATTTGTAGTATTAAAATATTAATTAAAAAAATTCTACGTAGCATATCCAAGGCATGCATAATGGAACAACGTTGTCTTAATTTTGTTATTCTAATTGAGATTAATATATTTGATTAGATGAAAATAAATGGCATGCATTATGGGTTGGTGGGCCTAATGCGTAATAATATCATCTTTTTTATTATTAAAATTGTATATCTATTCGTTCGTTTTTGTGCTCACCGTAACACCACATAATGTTGTAGGAAACAAGATTTTCTATGAACCCTTTTTTCATTTGTTACGAAATATATCGTGCTTTTTCTTAAACATATATATGTATATAATTGATAAAATCAAACTGATAGTACATATATCTATATTTGAATTTTTTGAACTGACTCCCAATTAAATTAAAAAAAAATAAAAATTAAATCTTACAAACAAATTTTTTGAAATAAAATTCAATTGTGAATCCAATCTCTAAACAATATAAACGGAATAAAACTTTAAAATAATAATCTCATAAAATGAAAAATAAACCAGATATCACTATATTTATAAAGTTATTCGAAATATACAATTGTGAATTTTAGCTATTGAATTCTAATAAGAATAAATAATAAAAATTCCCCTGGTAGGCTTTTGGGGAAATTGGAAGCTAAAAACTTTGAGAAAAGGCTACAATTATTCTTTTTGGGTTATAATATTACCAAATAATGTCACCTTCTTTTGGTACATTATCTTTGTTGCCTTTTCAATAGGGTGAGTCCATAATTATAATTCCATATCTGCCCCTACGAATTTATTATTTCCCCAACTCTGCACCCTACCAAATAATTTCTAACCCCACCGAAAATCGGAACCTAGCAAGGACTTTTTCCAACCCATATGTACATAATGTTCATTATCTTTTAACTGCACCTGTAAAAGATACAGTTAAATGATAACAAATCCTTGACAATGCTTATTAATGAAATCAATTTTTCTATATTTAATTATATGAAAAAGTTTTTCCAATATATGTATATATGAAGTAGAATCATGAAACCATAGGATAATCATTTCCATAACCCACTATGGGGGCATTGTTGAATTCGAGTTTATAAGAATTTCAAATTTAAATTCACATCCCTTCGATTATGCTTCCAATGATTTCGATCTTCTTTTTTTTTTAACTTTTCATTGCCAATCGAGTGAAAATTGTGGGTAATAATCACAGTTCCTCCTTCTTTAATTTGAATTAATTCCAAACATTAAATACGCCCATTTTTCATGTTCATTTATATTATTGCATCCTTGAACAGAAAGTAAAATCTAGAGAGAAAAAAATTACTCATTAGATTTAAAAAACTAAACTGCTGAAATATATATTTTTTTGATAGTATACTATTATACTCTCATGGAAGATAATCAAATAGAAATCGAATTGTGGGAATGACGAATAATAACGATATATAATAATGAGAATAAGAGTAAGAAGAAGAGCGCAAAAAGTACAAAATGCATTAGCTCAGCATTTCTTCCAACTAGCTTCCATTATCTATGGACACCACTCTCTCTCTCTCTCTCTCTCTCTCTCTCTCTCTTATATCGAATTCCGTACCTGTCGCCTCCTATTAAATCGCATTTAATTAACGCGTTTCGCGTCCGATGCTTGCGTCGGTGGAGGAGGAGCGACGACTTCTAGCTTTTCCCCTCTGTAGCCGCCACGCCCCTCTTTTCCCTCACCGTCGACGTCGCTCTCCGGCGAGGTGATTTCTCTTTACCGCCTCTCTCTAGCAGTGGGCTCCGTTCATCTCTGTCGGCGTTCCGACCGGTCTCTGTCTCTGCGTGTCCTTTGCCGTACCTCCATTGGGGTGATTCTCCGGCGATATTTTCGCCGGCGCATGCTGACTCCGGCGGACAGGTCTGTGTGTGTATCTCACGGTTTTACTGCATCTTTTCTCTGAACGGCATCGTTTTGGGGGAACCAACTCTCTGGCTTTTGGAGTTGGAGTTTTGGCTTCTTTTGTTTTTTGGGTTACCTTTCCGATTCTTTCCCCCTACTTTTCCCCTGCGATTCGTTTCGCTACTCATTTGATGAGTGTAGGCGATGCATTTTCTGCGTTTGCGTTCGGAAACGCAGCCTTTAACGGAAGCTGGCGTTTTGATTCGCACCGGCTGAAGATTCATCTCCATAAGGAGCTGTTTCCCAGAGTTGCCAATTAATGCCTTCGATTCTCTCTTTAATTTCGAGGATTTTGATTTCAATTCGTTGATTCTTTTGTTTCATCTGTTGAGAATTTCCCTAGTCGGACTTCTCAAAGTTCTTACATTTTTTTTTCTCGTGGAAAAAAAACGACATTGTCGGTGCTAATTTTTGTAAATTTGAGAGCACCGTGTAGCTTGAAACTTGAATTCGAAGGTTCTACCTGCGAAGTTGTCTGTATGCATTGTCTGTTAGGTTTTCGTTTTCGTTGTTTTTTCCTGCGGTTTTGTGATCTTATTGATGCTGTAACTTCGTAAACTGTGATGTTTCAGGCGTTGAAATGAACGGTCATCGGAGAAGAAACGATCAAGGAATGGGAAGGCAAATCCCAGGATGTTTGGGTCGGATGGTGAACCTGTTCGATTTGGCTGCTAATGGCGGTGGAAACAAAATGCTTACTGACAAACCGCATTATGACGGTATGTTCATGGGGTGTAGTAACTACTTCTTCTTTGCATGATGGTCAAGAATTATGATTTCCAGTTAGGGTTTTTGGCTCTGTTAGTAGACTGAGTTGGTCGTTTGTGATGGCAATTATGATTGCTTGACAGGTTCTTCTCTCTCGAGGAGCCGATCTGCTGTTCCTTCGAGGCCGAGTCCTCCTATGGGAGATTACATAGAAGATGAAGTTGTGAGATAATATTCCGTGCTTTCAGAATATAAGCCTGTGTTACGGTTCTTCCTACATGGGTTAATGTCATAGAAAGTAGTTGTGATGTGATCTGTGTTCTGTGGGTTGTGACTGCAGGTTGTTTCTGAGATCAGGAGTACTGCTAATAGAGTGAATGGAACCCCGATGAAGAAGCTCATAGCACAGGAAATGTCGAAAGAAATGGACTATAAGCTCAGCCCGACCAATGTCGTTGCTAAGTTAATGGGTCTTGATTCCCTCCCTCAGCCGCAGTCTAATGCATCTGCCCCGAGAAGTAATTCAAAATCCCAGCTACGGCGTTCATTAAGCCATGAAGGAATCGCAGCACGAAGCTGGGAGAGGGATTTCAATAATGCGTTTCAAGATCACGGTGAATATAAAGATGTGTACGAGATCTGGCACCATCCGGGGGAATTGAATAACAGTAGAAAGAGTG